GCTCTCGCTATCTTTTCGGGAAACCCACTATTACTTAATATAGCATTTAGTTGTTGATAGCGAGCGCTTCATAATTAGTTAGGTAGTGCTGATAATAAATTTTTATACTTCAGTTAAAAGCGAATCAGTTCTTTGCATTATAGTTGCTTCCTGGTGCTGGAGCTGTCGAGGTTGAATTGGCTCGACAAATAGAATCGTTCGGTGAGAAGTGTGCTGGACTTGAACAGTATTCAATCAAAAAATTTGCACATGCCCTAGAAGCTCTGCCAAAACAAATTGCCGAAAATGCTGGATTAGATGTAAGCGAATTTAATGTACAACCGTTCATTTTTTTGGAATGACTGGTTTATAAAAGATATCTCAATAATAAGTCGCACATAAATTTTTTCATCTACTATATTCTTCTTTAATGTTTCAGCCAACTGAAATACTTTCTAAAATTTATGCTGCTCATCAAGACGGTCAAAGAAACGCCGGAATTGATCTTCTCTCTGGAGATATAATGGATGCTGTAGAGGCAGACATCTACGATCTATACAGTGGCAAAAAATCTGCTATAAAATTAGCTTCTGATGCTGCAATTACCATTCTGAAAATAGACCAAGTTTGTACCTAACTGCCTTCGAAGGGATAAATTTTTGATACTGATTAAACACTGTTCAGTGAGTAGTCTTTGAATACACTCCATAAAAACTTTTACATTTTATGTTAGCAGTATTAACTACAACTTGTAACGTAATTTGAGGTTTCTCTCATTTCACTGCATTACATTGTTCCTTTTTTTAATATTTCTGGTGGCTATGGATCAACTCATCACCAGAATCGATGTAAGAGGAGAGTTTCCGAATTAAATCTAAATTATCTTAGTTGTCAAATTTGCTTCTGAGACAGATAAGTGATAAACTAGAATATTTAGACGAAATTAGTAAGATAGTTTCATCCCTAATTTTCGCACTTTGGTATGGTGTAAATTTATCAAATTTTCAGATTATTATGTCCAAACAATCGAGTGGAGGCCCAGCACCACGACCACCGAAACCAGCTGATGAAGCAGACGATGATTGATCTGAAATATTTTAATTCATTTACGAATATTGTCTGATTTGTTGAAGGATGGAAATCTGAAAATTGAAATATCGTTATTCCATATTTACTTTATGTTATTTCAAAAATGACAAGATTTTGATTGTTCAATAAAAGCATTTTTAAAACCAAAATAATTTGTTAAATAACTGTGCAGTTCCCATTCTGCGTCTCACAATTTCCATTTACATGTCAGCAATTACACGAATTCAAAGAGAAACATTTTTATCTTTTCATAAATTTTACGAAAGATTTTACTTCAGAATTTTTATTAAGGTCGGTAATATTCAGTTGCTAACATGTACATTTCATTTACATCTTAACATTTATGTATTGTTAATAAAACAAACAATTGCCTTACCCTCTTCCCCTCCAAAAAAAAAAAAAAAGTTGCTTTAATATGTGGACGTTATGCCAGAAATCTCACTGAATAGTGGGGACTATGTGCATTTTCTTTGGAAGGCTATCAGTATATGTTTCGTAACAGCTTTTATGAGATCTTGCAGCTGTGAAGCACCATAATTAATAGATCACATTGCCATTGTCATTGGACGCTCTAGATTTATTTTATTAATTCGGAAGCTTGTTCTCAATGTCTTCCAAACCTCCATATAAAGTTGGTAAGTTGTTTTATGTCTTAATTTAACTTGAAAATTTTTCAGATTGAAGCAACTTTGTCATCTCATTTATTTGTATCTGGGTGCAGGGTGTTGCGTTGTGTAGATTTGAAAAGCTATTAGTATCTATAGTAAGTTTAAACAAGTTAATAATCGTAAATGAAGGAGTCATTTGCTGATTTTAATTAGTTTTAAGTGATTAATTGTATTTAGCTGATATAAGCCTGGCCGAATTTGGACGCAAGGAAATACGATTGGCTGAAAATGAAATGCCTGGTTTAATGGCGATGCGCAAGAAATATGGGTCACTGAAACCGCTGAAAGGAGCCCGTATTGCTGGTTGTTTACATATGACCGTTCAAACTGCTGTTCTGATTGAAACATTAGTGGAACTTGGTGCTGAAGTATGATTTTTTTTCTTTTTTGTTTCAGAAATTATTTGAATCTATCTGTGCTAATTTTATATTGAAAATAATAAAGCAGTAGTACCAGAGAGTAGACTAAAAATAATGATAAATTTATAATAGATGATTTTTTTATTTATTAGACTATTAAATTTTAGTAAATATTGACTTTTATTTTTAGGTTCAGTGGTCGTCATGTAACATATTTTCAACGCAGGATCATGCCGCAGCTGCTATAGCAAAACAAGGTATTCCTGTATATGCGTGGAAAGGAGAAACAGAAGAAGAGTATGAATGGTGTATTTTACAGGTAATTATTCGAAAATGTGAACTGGTTTTCAATCCAATTTTTTGCAGTTGTTTACTTTTTTTGTCAGAAAAGGTCTGGTAGAAAAGTTCTTTTCACTTCCTGCTAACTCTCTAATTTTCACATATTACATTTGATAATATCTGCATGATGTGTTTTGAGAACATAATGTAATCTTGAGTAAGTATTCTTACTACTTAGGTTAACTCAAAAAATTCCAGACGTTGAGATTTAATGATGATCAGTACTTGAATATGATTCTGGATGATGGAGGCGATTTAACTAATATCGTGCATGAAAAATTTCCTCAATACTTGTCTGGAATTTATGGTCTTAGTGAAGAAACTACGACAGGCGTACACAATCTGTCTAAAATGTTCGCTGCAGGAAAATTGAAGGTTACTTTTTTTTGGAAAAATCAAATTATTAGTTTACGCTTCCAATATAGTTTATATAACCATGGTATTATCTGATTGGGTCATCTTATAAACTGCGCTATATCATCAAGTCATTCTTACTTTTTTGTTAATCTACATGCATTCTGAGTGGTGTAAATATTAATATGTAGCTTCCAGCATTCTATATGCTCTTCTGTACATTTGTAGTTTCTCTTTCCTATTCAGGTACCAGCAATCAATGTGAACGATAGTGTCACCAAATCAAAATTCGATAATCTCTATGGGATTCGAGAGTCACTACCAGATGGTATCAAACGAGCAACAGATGTAATGGTTGCTGGAAAGGTTGCCGTTGTAGCAGGTTACGGAGACGTTGGGAAAGGAGCTGCTGCTTCATTAAGAGCATTTGGAGCACGAGTAATTGTCACTGAAATTGATCCGATCAACGCTTTACAGGCTGCTATGGAAGGTACTATATTCATTAATCATTTGTAATACGGTTTTTAGAGTTTGATAATGAGTGTTATAATTTGAGTTTTTGTATCTCACTATATAATTAAGCGCAAATAATTCCACTAAGATGGGACAATATGGGAGGTGAGATCTTGTAGGTCAGTAATCACTGTAAAAAGTATTGATATATAATAGGTACGTCACTTTCACTTTATTTATGTTCGAAAAACTTTTGGAGAAAAATAATTTTATATTCAGGATATGAAGTTAAAACCTTGGAACATGTAGCATCAATAGCAAATATCGTAGTCACTACAACTGGTTGCAAATGCGTTGTTCGAAAAGAACATATGATTGAAATGCCCGAAGATGCAATTGTCTGCAATATTGGACATTTCGATGTCGAAATTGATGTAAATTGGTTAAATACCAATGCGATAAGCCGAGATACAATAAAACCTCAGGTATTTTGTTCAGTCTCTGTTCAAATCAATAATAATTAAAACCATCAAAGAAGATAAACTTCAATGTCCCGAACTTTTTTTCAGATGCTTTTAGGGAAAGATTTGGGTAAAAGAGATGATCTTATTTTATTCATGTTTTGGCTCTTTTGTTACTGTGTAGCTATGTACTATGCATGTTTTACTATACTCTGGTACTATGTACTATGTAAAATGTGCATTTTGTGTTATTCTCCCGATTTCGAGTTCATTATTCTTTCGGGTAATAAATAGCCGTTGCAGGTTGATAGATATCAGTTGAGGAATGGTAGGCACATCATAGTGTTAGCAGAAGGGCGATTATGCAATTTGGGTTGCGCTACAGGTCATCCATCATTTGTTATGAGCACGTCGTTTACAAATCAGGTTGTTTTATATTTAGGTGTCATACCCTTTAATAATGAGAGTTATAATTTGAAATTCTAAACCATATTTCAGTGTTAATAATGCAAGTCTAAGTTCACTGAAAACTGGTGGATCAATTGAACTGAATCAATTAAAGTTAATTTGTGTTTTTGACATGTTCATGTAATCAGTTCCAAATCCTCAACTTATCAGACACTTTATAACTTCTTCCCCTCTTCTTCTCTCTGTAGTACTTTCTGAGCTGCAGGTGTTGGCACAAATTGAATTATTTACAAAACATGGAACTCCGCACCAATACAGCATCGGCGTCCATGTGTTGCCAAAAATATTGGATGAAGAAGTTGCACGGCTCCATCTAAAAAAACTTGGCGTAGAACTAACAAAATTAACACCAGAGCAAGCTGAATATCTTGGCATACCTATCGAAGGACCATACAAACCAGACCATTACCGTTACTGATTGAATGTACGACTATTCCTTGTTCCCGTTGCTTCATTGTTTTGACTAAAATTGTTGATAACTCATTTCCTTGTTTACAGACTGTTACGTTTTAAGTCAATGTAATACAGTATGTCCCGTTTTACATGCCACATTTCAGTAAAATAAATACTTGTTTTTATTGATAGCATACGGCACAGTATAGAGTGTATAGTAAAATTCATTTAAATTTTGATATGCACACAACAGATTTCACAAAGGCTTCCTGAGATTCATTTAATATGTCAATTTTTTTGATCCCGATGTTTTGGTTCTAGACTTCCATATACATGCAATGAGAATAGCATAAACAAAAAAATTATTAGTAATGATCCTTGGAAAACTTCAGTCTTGTTCATGTATACAATAACTTTGAGAAAAGAGATATGAGATGTCAATCAACGAAGCGGAATCGGTCGCTCAATATTTTATATTTTTCATCCTCTAATGTCAAAACTAGTGTTTGCGTAAAAGCATGTGTCATTTGACCAAGAACAACTTTCCCAACTGCAAGGACCACCAACGGACGCGCTTGATCAGAACTATCGATATATTGGCAATCTAGTGATTCCAACCTGAAAATATCCGAATCAATTTTGAAAAATGTGACCAGTCAGTGCTTCACTGAGATCAATATTATCTTGGAATTTTCTAAAGTTCCCAATTTCCATTAGTTAAAAGCAAACAAATCCTGTACGGAATGATTGCTCTCGTCTGTAAACGACTCTTTTTCATGATTTTTCCCTTGGTGAATGTTGTACTCAGCACTGCAAAAAAAAAAAAAAAAAAAAAAAAAAAAAAAAAAAAAACAAACGAACAAAAAAAAACTACCATATATAGAAAGAAAACAAGAGTGAACTAAAACACAAATACTAATGTAAAAAGTTAAGTTTTTCGATAAACAACTTCATTCCTAGGACATAAATATGATAAAAAATGAAGGATGTGCTGAGGCAAAACTCACGTGTGGGTAGAATTCGGCAAGCTATCATAGAACTTGGCGATAATTTCCACTCCCCGTAAGGCGTTACCATTCCAAACAAGCATGGCTCCATCAGTGTACAAGAAATTCATCTTATTTCGTTTTCGATCAACGGCATCGTAAAATAAGTCCGTGAATTTCTTTGCTGCTGTACACGCCGTCTCATCTTCTACTGCCAATTTTGACATCAAAATTCTTATAATTGGAGAAGTTCCTATCAGTTCATTAAAGGCCTATAATCCAAGAATGTTAATCATGCCATTCCCGATGACAAGGCTGCATCATGTTTTAGCATACATTACGAAATCTGTAAGCCAATGTGAGCCATGGTATTAAGAACTCAACGAAGTAACAGTCTTTCATTAATAACGTAATACACCACTACCCTCAGGGATAATCCAAAGAAAGGAACAAACATCCAAACAGAAATACCGCAATTACACCAATACCACTGCAGAGTAATGTGTCAATTAAAAAAATAATGCTAACATTTTTCCACATCTACTGAATCAATTTGACAACAAATTATAGTAGAAGAAGTACAGTTACTTTTTATTATGAGCAAGAATTTGTTTAAAGCTCTCAACGTCATCCATACCAGCAGCAAATGAACATTAAGGAAGCATACTCTTCAAGGTCACGCCATCTTAGACTAGTAGTAAGTAAACGTGGACACGTATACCCCGCACCACCAACGTCTCAACTTATCTCTAAATAAGAACACATACGAAACAAAGCAAACACTACATTGACGGAAAGTTTTCGCCATAAAGCTACTATTAACAGACAAGTACTCGTTCCAAGACCGATTTGTATTTGAATTTGTGCTAAAGTAATTGTTTCGGTTTAACTATTTCAAATTAATGATTTGCCAGCAGTTATTTCTTAGTGTTAGAGTGAATTTTAAAGTGAGTGATATTACTCTTAAAATTATCACTCCTGAACTACTTACTACTAATATATAAATAAAATGTTACTTGATAGTTCTCAAACACTCAGAAAATGTAACAAAGCTTTTCGTTCATTTGTTTCATGTTAATTTTTTCTTCTGTATATGCAAATTAACGGGAAAGAGGCTTATCATTACCTGCATAAATTTTTTTGTTTTAAAAATGTATTGTTATAGTGTTTGAGAAGTCCCGTGGGCTTATCTGGAGCGATGATCACAGGCAATACCAATTGTCGGTCAAAGGATTCGGAACAAAATTTGTTCCTGGCATTCATTCTATTATTATCTATCTTTTTCACTGGTAATTTCATATTCTTTTAACTGTTTTCTTCATTTCTTCTTTCGCCTTCGAATTTCGTTCGAAAGAAAATTCTTTCATGCATATGATCTCTTATCTAGCCAAGAGCTCTTTCATCAAACTTTTTAAATATGTTAGCCACAGAGTTTAGATATGCCACTGTATATGATCAAGAAATCTTTAGCATCAATTTCTACTCAACATTTTCCAGTAGTTCAGTTTGTTTACTATATGATCACTTAGTTTAATCCATTACAGTTTGCTGTTCTCTTCCTCTAATGAACTTTGAAGCAGTTTTTGAATTCCAAATCAATTTAATTCTTAATTCCTATCACATTCATTTTGCTTGTACTCTATTCATTTTAAGCTGCAACCAGTGAGGAATCAATTACATCACTTGAAGAAGTGCCAAAAACAGGTAGAAATATTGAACAATCGGACGTAAGTCTTAATAATAATATGACACTGAATGAAACAGACAGTAAAACGAATGGCTTGGTGATTATTTCTTCTCATTATTTTCATCTTTTTTTTTTTGATTTCTACACAAAAAAAGTTTCACTACAAGCAAACTATCGCTGCGCATTTTATTATTACTGACTGATACATATTTTTAATTTTCTAACTAAACTGGAGATGAAATTTTATTTGTATGAAACAAGAAATAGAAAAGAACTTGACTGAAAAGCAGAAAGTAAGGATTATTGTCCACTTCATGTACATGAAACTTGCAGCGGATTGTAGTATTCAAAACAATCAAAACACAAATCACCACGGCGAGGAATAGCAGTACTCAGAGATTCTGCATCGGATGGTTATGTGTTTCACTTCTTATTTTTATTGTTGTTAGTTTATTTTTCTCTCATTTTTAATTGTGGACATTTAATTACTAACAAGAAATAGTATGTTAATTGAATTTCTCTGAAAAAAAAACTGATGTTTTAAGTGGAGAAACTTTGAAAGTGGATAGTGATTGCTTTTCATTCAACAAACGGTTCTGCGAGTTATCAGTTGACATGATGAGTAAAAAATATCTGCATCATTAGGTATCACATGCTTTTAGACATCATATATCTATTAAAATTCCGTTAGATGATACCGACCAATAAAATGAAGCAGCGCTTTGATCCGAGTCCTTGTGATTATTCAGTCCAGTAAAAATGATGTAGAATTTTGGAAAGAAAAGTGATAAGTGTGGAAATAACATAACTAGTCAAGATATCCATGTCTTGATGTAGATATATTCTCTAATACTGTCTGGTTCCATTTGATTCATCCTCAATATCTACTTTTTTGCTTATTTTTCAAACAAGCTTCAAGATGTGAATGCTATCCCATTTAATCATTACTTTACAGATAATTTCAATCCCAAGCATTGTCATCCTAACAATGTTTATCATATTTCTCAGCTACGTTTTACGACGAAAACAAAACTGTCAAATAAGCTCATCCAAACCATATGCATCTGGAAGGTTGTGCTGCATTTCTGATCGATGAAAGAAAGGAACAAAAGAAACGAAAAAAATGGTGCATAGTCAATTTAATTTCTTTTTAACTTCAGACTGATGCAGATATATTTGGGTCAGCAAAATAGTTTCAAAGAGGCAGAGTCTGTAAAATTTACTAAATCGAATCTTGACACTGAAACTAGTGTCGATGAAGTGAAACCACTCAGGTATATTTTTTGTGCATATTTTAATAGGGTTAATGGAGGGAGTGCAGGACTTTTAAACTGGTCAAACCTAGCTAATGTCAATTCACGACCTTTCAGATAATCGTAATTTATTGCAGTTTTGCAGTACCATTCGGGCTTCTTACCTACAATTAGGTTGGCAACAATTTGTTCTTCTTCCTACAAATGTTTTCTCTATTCCATCTTATTTTCCTATTCTTCCTTCTCTGCTGCTTTTAATTCACTATCTATTCAATTTGAATTCATTGATTTATACTCCTTAACTTAAAGGAATATGTCAGAAGAAAGTGAGATATCACGTTCCGTAATGGCATCCGCATCATCGGAAAAAGAGGATGAGAACGGTTTCCAAAGGAAAAAGTCATTGATCAAGAAAAGAAGGCATTATTGATCTGCTTTTTGACGAATTTCTGTAATTAAAATTGCTCATGTTTGGTTTGACTGCATTTCTCTTGCCTTGTCATATAAATCAGATATGTAAACATAGTGCTAATCGACATTTATGTCGTCAACAGGACCGTATAGTCATTTGATCAAAACAACAGGATTCATCTCGGCCATCATTGTGCTGCAAACTGGCAAGCATATTGTGATAAGGCAATTGAAAATGAAGGGGAAACAGCCAAAACATCATTTATCATATGTGATAGGAATATTTAAAATATATTCCTTTGGAAATATCTGTTAAAGCGTTTGAACATACATGCAATTTCATATGAACATCTGTTCTCATAACATAATTCTTCAAGATTGGTCGTGCCTGAAAATGACTTTAAAAAAGAGAGAAAGAGTTTACTAAAATGAACTCATGAATCAAGCAAACTATTCGCTCAAAAATTTTCCTTAGCTATTTAATCTTTTGAAAGTTATCATACGTTCATTAAACTGGAAATTTGTTTTGTTATGTTGACCAGTTATGACCAGCAATTCATCTTGCCTGAGGCTATATCTGTCGTAAATTCCTATCACTTTCTCTTCATTGTTATAGCCCACCACTATTTATAGCAAGAGGCAGTGTTATTTGCTTTGGTTTTTCAAAACAAGCATCTCTTATCAAAGACCCTAAGCATGTAATCACGAAGAAATCTTTATTTGTTCCCATATTATTTCTACTTTTCAGTAACGAAATACCGAATACGTCTTCCTTCTACATTTCCAATTTCCCGTGTTTTTTTTAATTGTTTCTATTTCATATTTTAATTCTTTTTTGATTTATATTTTCCACTTCATTGGTACTTTTTAAAGTTATACTATAATGAAACATTGAAGCATTAAAAAAGAAAGAAAAAGATTAAATGGAGGTGATAGGAATAGTCTGCTTGTTGTAGCAATAGAATTTTTCATTCAAATAAAAAAATTGATGGAAATCTTTTTAGCCGATGAACGGCTTATCAGTTAACGAAAATTCAAGTATTTACATATGATTCATCTCCTTCTTTCTTATACTTCAATAAAAGACCGTCTCTCCTAAAATATCGATAATTCCTAACTAAAAGACCCGTAGCAAAACATTTCAAGCACTTTGCAACAATATTGTGTGAAGCAATTGTTTACAGTAGTCAAATACTTCAAGCATCAGGTTCTTCATCCTTTTTTCCATTTTTATTGTTTATACCTTGTTTTGGTTGATCAGTTTAGCGCTTATGTTAAACATCTAAGCGATAAATAATGAAACATTTCTAAAAAAATTAATATTGAACTTCACCATCTTTAGCTTTTAGCTTATATGCTTCGCTTTTGATCTGTTATCGACGCTTGCGACGATTGCGCTTGGCAGAGAAAATACTTAAGGTGCTTTAAGTATACTACCTCTTTTGCTGTATATCTTCGAGAGTTTTTATCCTTGGCATATAAGAGAAAGTATTGTTGTTCAGAAAAAAATTGCTTCCACTCCGAGTATTTCTTGATCATTGCTGGCATATCATAATATTTACATATTTTAGCTTTTCTAACTGAGAAAGGTTCTTCAAGTTAAGTTATATATAATTATATTTATATACCCCATATGAGCGCAGAAACTTTCCTTGTTGGTTCCACATGCTACTCTTTACTTATAACACAAAATTTTTTCCTTTCCTTGATGCGATTCCGAACCTGATCTGTTCTACATTCAGGCCTTAAAGAACATATTCAGTTGCAGACATACTTCTTACTGACTTTAATCAGTCATTCAAATTGTAATATGAAAAAAGGATTTCGAGATGTAGATGGGGAAATAAACGACCGAAATACTTCAGTAGAATTATACTCTTTATGACTTTTTTCAAATTTATAAGGATATATCAGTCCCTGATAGGTAGAAAAGAAATTAGAAGATAAAGAAAGATATGGATGAACGATTAAAGGAAAATTAAAGGAAAATTCTTTTGCAGTCACGACCGGTCACGGCCATATGAAGTGTTTTACCTTTACTAAGACCGAGCAACATTTCTATATTTGACTTTTCCCTTCCATTTCCTTGAATTTTCTGTGCGCATAATGTCCATGCCGAATATCTGGCTACTATTTATTTGCAAATTTTGAGCATTCATACTCTCCGTTTCAATTTTTTTTTTTCTTAAATGTAAATTTGAAATTTGAAATAGATGTAACACTTCGAGTTTCCAGTGAATTTGTCTAAAATACTTTGCATACAATACATATATATATATAGGCATTCTTTTTTTTTGTTGTCCTTTCCAGGCCTCTTTTTTCTCCTGTCCTCCTAGCACATTATTGCAGGAAACATTCTTAAAATACCCAATTATCTAACAACAATTCCTTAAGTATTTTAATCAAAAATTCATTTTTGGGCCACAGACTTAAGTTTCCATCGGACCCTTTAATAGCTCATATATCATTCTATCTCTTGACCGAAAAAATCTGAATCATTTCCGGAAAAGAAAACTCCATCTATTATGGAAGAGGGATAAAATGGACTTAAATTGATAATCAGAAATTACAGAACAGATGAGAGATTATCAATGACTTGTTTATTTAGTACCAAAAGATAAACATAATACAGGAAGCAGAAAGCCTAGTTCCTATAACCAGCTTACTTCTGTAGAGTTGTTAGGAATGCCAATCAAATAGAAAGCGTATGAAAACAATGAATGCAATAGCAGTACCGTATTCAATACAGTCATAGAATTGAAGTGCTACTCAACCACCTTTCTCTCTTCATTAATATCAAAAGTGAGGAATGAGTCATGTAAGATAAGGTTCAACTGTTAAATTAAAATTTGCAAATCATTTGTTACACTTTTTGAGCAGTATCTATAGATTATTAAATTTTTAAACTCACCCTTAGACCAGTTGGTTATTTCGACAAAAATGAGGGCGCAGTCTATGTGGTATTTCAACTAATCTCTCTGATTAAGATCTTGGTACTGGAGTAAGTTTCATATGAATTTTCACTTTTTAAATTTTAGCCAACTCAAATTTAAAGTTTCTCTTACTAAGCACGAAAGAACAACAATGACCAGTGAAATGTGACATTTACACTGTCACTCTCCCAAGCACTTTAGGTCATTTTATAAAACAAAGCTTCAAACTAAATTTTATATCTCGAGATGAAATTTTGAAAACGGCGTCACAAAATCGCGAAGTATACCAGTCGACCAATTAGCACATTTGAAAATGCCCGCTCAGTGATTAGTGGTACGAGTGGTGGATATCCAGAGTTGGAGTCTTATACAACTCTTGAAAGTAATCGAGAAAATCGGAAATGGATACAACTGTGAGGGGAAGATAAGCACTGAAAACTTTTCTACCCACTTTTGGTCGGTGTCAGTTCCGGTTTTTGCTTACGTGTATACTACGAAATAAGAAAAAACAGAAAATTTGTAGGTCACACGACAAATATGTTAGTAACCGTCATGAAGACATTAATGCCATTATTCACTGTAATGTCAAGAATATATTTCACTCTTGTTTCTTGCTTTTTCACTTTCATCTATCATTTTTTGTCAAGAAAAGTGATCAGTGCTCCACGAGATAAACTACTCACAATTAGTGCCACGCAAGCTGCGCAAATGATTCGAAATCGAAAGGTAACAGAAATTTGAAATAGTTGAGCATTATTATTATTATTATTAACCATATATTCTTTGTAAAACATCACATATAGATAGACCCCAGTTATTAAAATGTAATAATTAACTAGGTATGTCTGCATGTGCCATTACCTATTCTAATACTTTTGTCCATGATTGTGGTGTTGGTTCGTGATTGATTTAACATGGTAATCTAATTTTCTCATAAAAAACTAAATGAATTTGAAAAAAAATTTTCGCAATGAATAAGTACGGCACAATATGTTAAGCCTTACTTTAGTTCATGGTTATGTAAATTTCAGAATTACGAAATGTTTTTAATCTTTATATTGAGCAAAGATTAAGATTCTGTAGAAATGAACATATATAATATGCAAAACAATTAAAGTTTTTAATTACGGTACGATTTTGCAAGGCGAAATTAAATATTGCTGTATTTAGATAACGAGCTTCAGCCTGGTTGAAGCTTATATTAAGCGTATCAAAGAAGTGAACGGGACAATTAATGCGGTTGTTCAGATGAACTTTGAAGATGCATTAATAAAGGCTCAAGAGATTGATGAAATGTTGGGGAACCTTGACACTGATAGCGAGGACTTCAAAAGTGTACATTTCCATGTTACTTCTTTTATTAGTCTTCATAATGCTGCTAAAATTAATTTTTTCCCATCTAAGAATATTCGCAAGATGAAGTTGTATAAATAGGAAAAAATTTAGATAAATAGCGATTGTTTTCAGCTTGCTGTAAGGAAGCCATTGCTTGGTGTACCGTTTACTTTGAAGGATTCCATTGAGGTGGATGGTTTGTACTGCACTGTTGGAATATCATATCGGAAAAAGTCTGTAAGTAACAAAGATGCCATCGTTGTGCAAAGGTTCTTTCACTTTAATAATTAGTTCGAATCCTTCTTTACACTTAGTTTTCAGTAATTCAGCATACATAATTTTTAGTTAAACAATCATAACTAAGAGTAATGTGGCATCACTTCAGTCATCTTATATATTTTTCCACTTAATTTTATTATTGCATTTTAAACTTCTTCTACTCTTCTTTGTAGGATGAAAGATGCCGGTGCAGTCCTTCTTGCGGTGACTAATGTTCCAGAAGTATGCATGTGGTGGGAATCAGTGAATGTTGTCTATGGTCGTACCCGAAACCCGTATGATAGTAGACGAATATCTGGCGGTAGTAGTGGTGGAGAAGCTGCATTAATTTCTGCTGCAGGTTCAGTAATCGGTATTGGTAGTGATATTGCTGGCTCAATTCGTATGCCTTGTTATTTTAATGGAATTTTCGGTCTCAAACCTACTCCGGGCATGTTTTCATTTTTGGCTTTATTTTGTGATTCTTTTTTTTTAATTCTTTAAAAATCTTTTTTAATAAAAGTTAATAATTCGTAGCGAAAATAATAAATAATTAAATTTCATTTGCATTTTATTTTGTAATGTTGTAATTGAAATGCTTTACAATATCAAGCTACCTAGCCTTTTGTTCAATTATGCATTCAGTTGTGGAAAACTTCAAATCTTTTTCTAATTAATAATAATTCTTAACTAAAACAATAATTAAAATTCATTTACGTTTTTCGCAATTCTGAAATGTTTCAGTCGTGTTTAGGTTTGGTACCACTGGAAGGACATTTGCCACTCCTGAATGGATATCGTACAGAAAAGATGCTGTTAATTGGTCCTATGTGCCGTTACGCGGAAGATTTGTCTATCTTATTGAGGGTCTGTTCTACACATCTTGCTGACTTTTTCTCATGATTTTTGTCTTTCGTGTTTCAGAATTTTCTTGGTATTTTAATGATTTAAAATATAGGTTTTCGCGGGAAGTGAAGGCACGAATTTATTACAAATGGATGCTCCGTTTAATATGAAAAAAATGCACATTTTCTATATGGAAGGCCTGAAGACACCTCTGGTGCAAGATGTGAATGGAGAAGCTTTGCAGGCACTGAAGAAAGAAAGTAGTTTTAATAATTGGATTTGGAAACATTTACTTCTTATGAACTAAAATTTACACACCTACAAAATTAGTTCTAGAAAAATGAAGGATGAACTATTATTATAGTGATACAATACGACATGAGGTCGATGAAGAATGTACAATGTAATATAGCATATGCTGTCTGATTTTGATCGAATTAAATGAAAATAGTGCATGTAGTTAATGTGGATGTAGATGTTTTAATTTAATTTTTTCCTAATTGCTTTTTTTTTTAGTTTTAGCTTTCCTTTTCTTCTTTTCGCATAATGCTCTTTAAATAGAAGGATAAGGAAATGGCGTTTTATAACGTGACCGAATATCTGAAAACTTTGGTAATGTAAGTGAACAATGCATTTATAAAATTGGAGCTTTTATTCTAGGCAGTTCGCTATTTTGAAATTAAATATGATCTATGTGCTGTTCGTATAGACCCACCACTTGTTCATTACGCTCTTGAATTTTTCCTAACAAGTATGGATGTTGCAGATGCTCCGAAATTTGCGATGCATATGACCGATTTGAAGGCAAGTCTTATTTTTCGTCTTATCTTGTTCTCTAATTACTTAATTAATTACTTACTGTTGTTGTTTATTACTTAATTACGTATTACTTAATATTACTTAATTACGTATTACTTAATTATTACTTAATTATTACGTATTACTTAATTACGTATTACTTTATTACTTAATCCGTAATTACTTCGCTCTTCCTTTTACTGTTGTTGTTTATTCTTAAATCGTGCCATATATATCTTGCATTAGACTGAATTGTAGTTTTCATTTTCCAAGTAAAAAAATGAAAGGATTTGAATTTCTAATTGATAATGAGCAAATCAATATATATTTTTTTTCTTTCTTTCTTTTTTGCTTTTTTTGAATTTGTCTCATTTCTAGATGAATATAAATTGTTTTGTTGAATTATTCAAGTGGCTAATGGGCAAATCAATGCATACATTGCCAGCTATTATTACTGGAATTATGGACGAGCATTTTGCACCATTCAATGAGGAACAAAAACAAAAGGTGTGTCAGTTTAATTTGTGATTACTGCTGGTCATTGGAAAAGTTCTTGGAAACTTATATTACAATTTGCTAACATAAAGCGTAATAGTTGTATGAATCATTTTAAGTGTAAATTATTTTTGTTTTCAAAATAGCTCTTTTCAGTTAAGGAATCAACGAGATCGGTTAAGCCGGGAAGTTGAAGAACTTTTATCAGATAATGGTATCTTACTGTTCCCTTCGTTTCCAACTGCGGCACCTTATCATCATCAGCCCCTTTTTACTCCATTAAATTTCGCTTACACTGCTCTTTGGAATACATTGGCCCTGCCAGTTGTGCAGTGTCCAGTGGGTTTGAACACTCATAATATTCCGCTTGGTATACAAGTTATTGGTGCACCAGGATCTGATTCTTTGTTGGCAATAGTGGCTCAAGATTTGGAGAAAGGATTTGGTGGCTGGAAACCTTTAAATACATAATATATTCTGCTACGTAGTTTTATCAGTGTGATAGGGAAAAATAAATTTTGAAAGATATCTTCGCATAAAGTAATTTTTAATTTAAGTTCGTCTATGTTGAGCTCATTTCGTACTATTTTGTAGTCACTATTTCATTGGTTGGTTTTCTCTCATTGTCAAACATGATCGCCCAAAAAGAAAGACACAGTACCTTTTTCTGTGAAGTGAAGATTTTTAAATTAATTAAAAGCCTGTTACTTTCGTTACACTTTATCAATGTATTGTGATTTCGTTAATCTTTTTGTCATCCCCTCTGTTGTAGATCTTTCCTTCCTACTAGTAGTGTTATTAGTGTTATTTATGAATATTCAGTTTTGTTCTCTTGACCTTCTCTGACATACTGAAAAAAACTGGTGAACTAGACTTTGGGATTGTTATTATTTTATTGACGGCATTATATATATATCTTCATTAGTAATATTCTGTAATGCATTATGTTTTTTTTTTTTTTTTCCCACAGTTTTATGTATCTAATAGCATTTAGAATTCCATGCTTGCTTTGCCATGAAATTGATTGCGGTTATTAAAAAATGGTGTTGAAGTACAGAATATTTGTACTTGCTGGTTTATTTGAAAAATTCACTTGCTTCATGTGATTCTCTTTATTACGTCTCTGTATTTTGTATCTCTTTGTTGGTTGCATATGATAGTGCAAATAAAATACCTCTTATTATGAATGTTCTTCTTCATCTTGCTGTTTAAACTGTACAGCAGTCACTTTCTTGCTTTCCCTATCAATTTAATGATTCCGTGATGAAGTTTAACAAAATTTTGAGTTCTGAATTTTAGTTTGGCTTAGCATTTCTAGTAGCCATCTTTTTTCAAAGTTCTTTATAATGTACAAACTATAGCACTGGAACAGAGATTCTGCATATGAAATCATTCTGCACGTACATCTTTCTTAAAAGTGACAAAAGTGAATGCAGAATTATGCCTAAGCTATAGGAAATAAACTTAGGTATCGTCCACTAATGAGGGCGTTGTTGGCTAACTTCTCGATATTGGACGTGGGACTATTGTCCTGCACTATATTTCGTTTCATTAGTTCCTTTTTTTTGTTGGAGTTTTACTGCTTCTAAATTTTGGTTAACATCAGGTTTCATAGTAGTAGGGTTATTTACATTATTTTTTTTAAAGATTAATGTTTTATGTAGTGTCTTTTTGTATGTGCATTGAGAAGTACTTTTTTTATAAGGAAATTTTATGATTACTTCTAGTTAATTGCTGGAATGGAGTCAAAACTTGATGGATCATAGTAATGACGAATTTTGAATTCCTTCAAGCAGAGCATGTTAAATTGCTGCAGAATCATGCCGATTTGCAGAAACGTTATGATATGTTGGCTGCAGCTGTAGGGTTCAGTAACATTTCTGTTGGTGATGCTTCAAAACTTTCGTTCGTGAAAAAGTTTGTGACAAAAATTACTGAAATATATGACAACGATTTGTATAGGTTCTGATTTTGTCTTGCAATTCATTTGTTTTTCTTTCTCAACAAAAAAATAAATGTTTTTTTTAAAAAAAAATATTTAAAAAAAATAAATATTTTTTAGATAATTTAATAGATTAATCATTATCTACTCAGTGAATATTTGACTAATTTTTTTCCACTCATTATTGGTTGAAATTAAAATTATTCCAAAGTTTACATAAACTTCTCTTGTAGCGATATAACAATTTACTGCGATGGACATCAGTTTCGAGGTCATCGGTTAGTGATTGCAACAAGAACAGATTATTGGGATGATCTTTCGAGACTTGATCGCATTGAATTTAAAGGTCATAATTGTTATGTGTTTTGTTATGTGTACTCTTCTAAGTTGATGCAGAATTTTTTTCTTATACTGTTACAGTTTAAAAACTTACCTAGAATCACTTAAAATCTAGTTATATTGTTATGTTAGTCAAATTTTTTCTGTAGTATCTATCTTGGAAATACATCATTTTATGTGTTTTTATTTGCAGATATTACTTATAATACAGGCTGTGCTGTATTAAAATGGATGTACACGGATCACGTAGACGGTCTGTTGGGAAGTCGTTGTTTAATGGAAATATTGGTAGCAGCGGTTAAGTATCGCTTTTTAGATTTACAGATAAGGTTATTTTGAAAAATTTAAAGTCATTTTTATGAATGTTTTTCAGCAGTTGTTATAAATCATCTCAGGTTTGAGTATTTTCAGAGTTGAACTGGTATTTTTGTTGAAGTAGTAATGAATTAGTCGTAAGAAAGGATTGATATTCAGGTAATTCTTGTTAAAATGCTAATTTCAGATGTGAACTGCTTCTGCTAGATCGGATTGATTGCGATAGTTGTTTGATGTTGTATGATATTGCAACCAAAAATGACTTAGTGCAGTTAAAAGATAACTGCGAAAAAATGATTAAGGCTAAATGGAATGAATTCAGTGCTGATGATTTTACCAATGTATCTGCTTCATTATTGTACGGTCTTATCAAAAGGTTGGCGAAGAGATTCGTTTTTGTTGTTTCTTGTTAATAATTTTCATGAATCATCAGTTTTTCTCCGTTTTCATTGTTGATATCTTTTTTCAGTAGTTAATAAGAAGTGACTCGTTAAGTTTGTTTATCTCATTTTGCTGTAACGTATATTAAATTTTTACCGAACTCAGTATAACACTTGGTAAACTAAGTTATAATAGCAAAACGTTACGGAATTACTTGTTTTACCCAACTTGAATACTTTACCAATAAGCTTATTGTAAATAGTAAAATATTGGAATGGACTTTGCTTCTTCAGGTCATCAAAGCAGAAATATTAGTAACAAATTTCAGCTATTCTGAACATGTATTGCATTCAATTATTCGTTTGAAGCGTAGTGATATTTTACTTCTTTTTTTTATTGAAAATTTCCAGGAAGTAAGTTATTATTTTCTTTCCCTTTAATACTGACAATTTAACCAGCGAGTGATTAGACGGCCAGTCCCTTATCTTTTACATGGATCCATGAAAACATGGATCAGCAATGAATACTTGGAAATTTTCTAGTCACTTTGTGTTTCCATCAAAAGTTAAGTAAAATAAACGAACTAACTTCCAACATTTAATTTTTTATTAGATAATAAATTTGATAAATATAATTTTGATACTCTCATTTTATTTATTCTAGACGATAACTTTGTAGTTTTCCAACACTTTATTTTTTCACAAAATTTTTTCTTGTTTAAAACACAAATGTTTAAGTTGCCTAAACTGTGCAATGAAGAAGTCAGTGGTACTTTTCCTCTGGAATTGGCATTGGAATCTGATCAGATAGAAATTGCAACATCTTTGGTTAATCATCATGCGGATGTGAATTCCATCGATAATAATGGTAAAACGCTGTTGATGAGGATGCTAGTGAAAAGTGAGTTCTCCTACTGAAAAAATAATTTATGTTTATGGTAATTATTGAACAATTGTTACCTTCCTGATGGCCATAATCATAATTGATCCATTAAAATTGTTTTTCATTAAAGCTCAAGACTGTTATGAGACTGTTATGGTTTTGAGAATCTGACCTCTTTTGTTCTTTTATAGCGCTTTCTTCTCTTTGTACTTCTATTACTGTTCTTTCTATTCACAAAAAAAAGAAAAAGAAAAAAGAGTACAGAAGCCTTATATCGCACGGTGATTGCATTAGTAGCTTTTAGCATTATAGGATGGTGGATTATTTTTTTTAGATTACATTTTTATGATCATTTAATAACAAAAAATTGGACAAGTAATTATTAAAGAAGGTATCTTAATATAGGACTGAAGAGTAAGCTTGATTTTCTGTCTCTTAATATTTTTTCTGCTTTCAGATAAGGTTAATGCATTGATTTTCTTAATTCAAAACGGAGCCAATTTTGGTCAAAAAGTTGATATAACCGGAGAAAATTTATTGCATATTGCTGCATCAACAAAATGTTCGTATGAATTAATTGAATGGCTATCTTCTAATTTAAATCATTTCGATATCAATGATGTTGACAACGACTCAAAGTAAGTATCTAAATTCACAATGAGCAATGATGCTGGTAGTACACAGTTTGAAATGAAAGTGAGTCCTAAATGAAAAAAGTACGTAACACATATGGTTTTCTTAGAAGATAGAGAAAGTCCTAGTAAATGTTAGCTCGATTTAAAATTAAGAAAAATTCGCAAAATTTTCGAAATCTGTGAAAGCTTTTTTTTAAATTTTACTACTTTTTTTTTTTTTTTTTTTGAGGACTCCATTTATAAAAGCTGTTGATTCGGAAAATATAGAAATTATTGAATTACTTTTACAAAAATCTGCGGTTGATATAAATAAAATGGATCGAAAGGGATGCTCTCCAATATCATCTGCGCTCTTCAAAATTAGAAACATGGCATTAGCGGAATTAATTGCAAAAGCAGGAACTGACTTAAACATTCTTTATAAAGGTTACTATAATAGCATCACGACATTTTTCATATTATTAGTCTTCGTATTCTTGTTTAATTTTAAAATGGTTCCTAATTAGTTCCATTTGATTAAAAGTGATAAAGGCTAGTTCCTTATCACACTTCATTCATTCTTGTAATTTAAAAAGTTTTTTTGTACACAAAACATGGGTAGGACACTCAGTAGATTTTTCATCATTTAAAAACTGAAATGCAATTAACTCAAATTAATTTAAATTTAAAATTTGAGCTTTTAATTTGGTTAGGGAATGTCGATGAGCATTTGGAGACAAATCACACAATGGTGGAAGTTAGACTGTTGTTTTGTTATATCCTTCAAAATAATAAGTTTTTGACAAACTTGGTTAATAAAAGGGTTAAGATATAACATTCTGGCAAACACTGAGAATCTTTTTTAATTGTGCAGAAACACTAAAATTTATATCAGATTTTATTTTTGAAAGCTTATCTTTATAGGTGTTTTTATGATTCATCATGCGGTTTATACAAGTAATTTGGATGCAGTACAATTCTTGTGCAGGCATAAAGTC